TTCAAATTAAATTAATATTATTTTTATCACGAAATATAATCTAATACACTGTGTAGTGAGAAAGCACTATTAGTGATGCATATCGTCATACCGATTGATTTCTGAATAACATAAATATAACGATTAACGAAAATCAAAATCGCTTATTTACTTCTACATAGGTAAAAATTATTTTATTATAGATAGGTATAAAATGTTAATTAATATTGATTGTCAAATGTACCTAAATTATGGTTAAATGTAAAAAAAATCTCGGTTACAAAAACAAAATATGCAGCGTTGAGCGTACCTAAGTTATATTGGGTTTGTATAAAATTGATTTAACATATAAATCGATTGAAATCCACTCGATAGAAAATACACAACTGGCTAAATATTCATCTACCGAATGATCGTTCCAAAATATTTCAACGGAATATAATAACGGTAGACGATATCGATATCGATAAATTATAATATTATAATATAACAATTTCGTATAAATCATGAACAGCCCGAGCTTAACTTCGCGGATGAATAAATCCGAGTAAAAAAAGATATAAAGTGTAATACGATAGCGAGTGCTAAAGAAAAGATATAGAGAATTGGGTCTCGTGGTTCAAGCGTAAGACAGTTTTGTATTATAACCTATTATAAATTTGAAAGGAATAATAAATCATGGCGTACAAAATTTGGAAATATGATTCTGATAGAAGCTCGATTCACTATTATACTCGTTGTGTTTATGTCGTTTTTCAAACATAAGTGTTCTCGCACAGATACAAAATTATGTGCAAAAAAAAAATATCAATAACAAATTTCCAAACATTTTGGAGTACAATATGATAATAGTATACGGTACGGTAGTAGCCTGTAGGTTCACATATTTTGGATAAAGTCAACGTGCATAATATATAATTGTAAATTGTATTTGAATCGAATAATTCGATATTCATAACACTATATAAATCACTTGTGTTTCATATTCAACAATATAATATTATGATATTATGCAGAGTGATTATTTTAACGGTAAACACAAGTTAGAACTCCGAAAGTCTTCGAAAATATTCCAAAATAATATCGTTTTCGAAAACAATGTTATATATTTTATTAGACAAGTTTTTTTTAGATTTCTAAGTATGACAGCAAACATTTTAATATTCCAGAGTAAAATACTTTTTTGACAATTTTAATGTATATAAAAAAAGCCGGGATAGTCACTTCTGAATAGTAAATACTGTAAACTCTGGTTTTGGCAAACCTCAAAAAGGTCTCAAAAGGAAATTTCAAAACTCAAAAGTTCAAGATATCAAAAAATTCGAGTTACCGAGTATTATTGTAATGGTATGATATTACTTTATTGGTAATTCAAAGGAAATTTCCATTTAGTTCAATATAATGAACAATTTAAGATTTCAATGTTCGATATAATAAAAAAAACTACTATTTTGAATGTAACATGTCATTGAGTAGGTCACTGTAATGGATGTGTTAAATTGGAATTCAATGATAAGCCATTAAAATATACAAAAAACGATCCCGAGGGAAGCTGTGTCTATCTCAAAGGGATATTTTATAATTTATTTATATGACTATTGGTAATTTGTTTTTGACAATCAAAACTCACATGTATTTATTAATAATTATTATAATATTATTTCACAAAATACTACTAGCACAGTTATTAATTTGTAGGTAAGTTAATGTATAAGTACCGACGTACCTGAAGTGAACCTAACAGTGTGAATGGATTCATGGTATAAATAGGTAGATACCATGAACCCATTTCGTTTTACTTTTTTATTAGCTTAAAATCAGTTTACTATTTTCAAAATATCATTGCACATGGAAAATAATCATACATATATTTTTTTTTGATATGACGCTTAGAGAGAGCCTAGTTCGGGCTTTTATTTGGCAGAATTTCTATTTGGGCACCAGTAAGTTTCTGCCATGCCCGATATATACATATATTATACAAAAATAAAAGTTTTAATTCTTAATAAATAATACTTTTTTAATTATGGTATTAGCACTAAAACTGTTAGAAGAAAAAACGTTATTCTCCATTCAAATAAAATACATCCAATTTCTTCAAAATTAGAACTTCAATTGTCTGTGAAAAAAAGTAGGTACGCCTATGTATTTTGATTTTTTTAGGACACTGTAAAACCAACTAACTATGTATTAAATGATGTAAATAATATACTTTCAAAAAATGTAATGAATTATCGAGACTATGTGTGTTTACTGTTGAAATAACCAGCCTGTATATATCGTATTATATTATAATACTGTTGAACGGTATACAGTCAAATTCGTAGCATTTGCACAATACATATTTTGTCGTGATCAATATTAAAATGTATACCTATACAAGAAACGAAATGGTATACGAGTAGTTTAATAAAGTAATAAAAAAAAATATCTGTGATTTATATTAATAATCAATGTCTTTTATACATACAAAAAAAAAAAAACCAATATACAGGGATATTTTAAGCATGCTCACCCTATTTTAGTGCTTAAATTATTCATACATTCAAATCTTGAAAATTTTAAATACATTTTAATTCATGTTTTTGAATACTTGAGATTATTCGTACCACTTAAGGATGATCTTGTGGTAATACAAACTTCTTTTTTTTTTCAAATATAAACGGGCCCCTTTTTTAACTTTCAATTATTCAGTATATATATTTTTTTGAGAATTTTGATGTATTTAAATTAAAATTAGAGCTAGTATATTTTGAGCTACGAACTATATCTGGACTAATGATAATATATCCAATGGTTATGGGTAAGTAGCTAAGGGGCATAGATGATTTGAAAATGTTAGTAATTACTACGGATCAATCAATAAAAACAATTTATAAAAACGGCCAAAGTATAATAAATACTGCATTTAATATTACATATATTTTATATTTTTGTAAAACCATTTTTAAGGATTTTTATCCTTATTAGAAACATTTTAATAAGTTTGAAACTATTCATTCGAATTTTTATTTAGATACGTCAATGATTTTCATCCACTAAATAATTTTCAGTAAAAAAGTGGATTTCCATTCGAAGTATTCTCGCCACAGAACACTGCATTAGTAACATAAAATATTAGACATTTGATAATACAGTCTTTAGGAATACTTGAAAATTCAAAAATCAGATATTAAATCAATTATTTTGAATAAAATATGTACTATAAAAGAGAAAAATGGGAGTGACCATTCTTAAAAATCTCCCTGTATGTACAATGTACATGTTTAATAATGACTACCTAGTATTTTATAATTTTTAGTCTTCGATATAGTGTGTGATATGGTATAGTTTCTAAGTATCATAATATTTGTATCTAATGATCAATTTACTTGTTTCGTTTTCAGGTCTATCCTTAAAATTATTGTTTCCAATATGCCATCAAATTACATTCAAATTTAAAAATAAAAAAAACCTCCGGTGTATAATAGGCGTCGATAGTGTTCCTCGTCATTGGATATGGATATGCTGAACTTGAATTATCATTGCTTACAAAACAATTCTCAATGGACAAGTTTTGTTATCTAATTACCTTCTATCAAATCTAGTTCATTATTTCATTAGTAAATACAATAGGTTGAACTAATTTTTGCAAAATCAAACTGCATGTATTACAGAGACATATGTATAGTTATTATTAGAATATAATTTCATGTCATAATACTAGCTGTTAAACTTTACGTCGAACTTACCGACAGACTTTATAATAGCTATTCATAGCTTGAATGGGCTTATGCCATAAATAGTTTAAAATTAGTTAAATATTTAGAAAATTGAATTGGGTAGGCACGCCAGAAGTGAATACGGGGATGGCAGAGGTGGAAATGATTTAATTTATCGAAAAAATTTAAACTTAACATATATTAATATATATTTTCTACTGTAGCAACGTTGTCACCGTATGGCGTACACCATACTTAGTCGTATTTTACAATACAGATACGGTAATTACCTGCAAGCACCTTTTTACATCCGGCAGTATCTGAAAACTACCGGAATCCACCTAATTTTCCAGAGGCCCAATACCACTGAATAATATATAATATAATCCAGATCACCAGACTATTTCCGTTACCCCAGTGCCACCAAAGAATATAATATATCAGTCAAAAAATATCTTATCGATTGTTTTTTCATTTTTAACGATTTGTAATCCTAATTTAAACATTTGTACAACTTCTTAAACTTGGGAAAATCAATTTTCCAGTGGTGGTACCAGTGCCGCCATGGCGCCATCGGATTGTATTGGCTCTTCTGACTCTAGACTGGTATTGTTACAAGCTTCTGATTTTCCAAGTTCCAAACGCATTTTTACGTGACTTGTTACACAAAGTTGAATGACTAAAAAACTACTTGTTCGAAATTAAATTTTGATAACATTTTCCTAAAAATGATCCATTAAATAATTTGTAGTACAAAAGAAAACCAAAAGTTTGTATCTATGTAGGACGGAATCACGACGTTGAGCCGACAACCAGTAGGCCGACAAGATATAAAGCCGACGGCGTTTGGCCGACAAGATATCAGGCCGACATGGTATCTAAATTGTATATATTAATGTTTAAAAATAAAAAATTGTTTACTTAATTACAATTTATTTTCGTCTAAAAAATATATTAAAAAATTAATTACATATTTTAATATAAATTTAATTTTAAAATAATATGTTATTGTTAAATTAAAATATATTTAATATCAATATTAATAGTATAATCGTCATAAAAATTAATTACATATTTTAATAGAAATTAAATTTTAAAATAATATGTTATTGTTAAATTGAAATATATATAATATCAATATTAATAGTATAATCGTCATAAAAAATTAATTACATATTTTAATAGAAATTAAATTTTAAAATAATATGTTATTGTTAAATTGAAATATATATAATATCAATATTAATAGTATAATCGTCATAAAAAATTAATTACATATTTTAATATAAATTTTAAATCGTAAATCGTAAAAAATTACATTTATAGTTTTATATTATAAGCTATACCTTTTAGAAAATCTATCAGGGTCCTATTACCTTTATCATTAATAATATTATTTAACCGTTTCTTACGAGCAGCATATTTTGGATGTTGTCGAAGCTTTGGTTCTCCAGATAGAATGAGTTCAATTTGACCTAAAACATCAGATTTAATTATGAATCATAAATGAAATACATATAATGTTAAATAAATTATATATTACTACACTAGTATACTAACCTATTGTATTCATCTGTTCTTTTTTCATTTCTGAAACAATATGTAAACACCCAATATGATCTGCTCCAATTAAAGTCTTCCAACGTTTGTGCCATGATTCTACCTTGTTTTGAGTTCGAGGTATATCTAATTCGTTGTTATGACTTACTGACCAAAATTCTGGTGGAAATAAGGGTGGAGACCGAGATATTGTGCCATTTCTAAATGTTCGACGAATTTTCCCATTTACATAAGTCTCATCAAACCAATTATAAATTTCGATTGGTATATACTGTTTTATTTCATTAAATGCTGTTATTATTTCATTTGGTTGTAAAAATGCCAATGCAGGAATATAGCGTAATTGTAAACTAAAATGTTCATCGGTACCATACGCAGTAGCCAATCCACACGATTGAATTTTCCTCCAAACATTCTGAGCCAAATGAAAAAAGCACCCTTTTTGGACACATTCTGGAAATATGTTGTGTATTGCATTAATTGCTGCTTTTTCGAAATCAGTAATTATACAAGTTGGATTAAGTTCATAACCATAGTTATTGCCTATCTCAATCAGATCTTGAAATAAGTGTTCATAACATTTTTGATTTTTACTTGACATTAAAACATAAACTAATGGAAGAATTCTCGAGTTTATTCCTCCAACTGGGGCGTGAATAGTGTACATTTGTAAAAATATATTTGGGACTGTCTTGAAAGTCCCGTCCATAATCCAAAATTTAGCTCTTACAAGTTTTTCAATTTCAAATTTGGTTGAAAAAATCAATATTTTATCGTTTTCTATTTGAGACTCACGTAATAGAAATAATTCTCCAGCAAAAGTATTTCGTAGACTTTCAGGAATATTAATATCTTCTAAAGTTGTTGGTTCGGCAGGTAAAGATTTTCTTCTTCTACGTTTAATAATTTTCCGTACAGCTTCAGGACCAGGTAAATATGGTTGAATACTTAATGGTATATTGCTAACTACTTCTTGCAATATTTGCGATGGTTTATCACGTGTAGAATGTGCTCGTTTTTTTATATCTGATCGAAAATCTATAACTGTTGCCCTGTGAGCTTCGGGTGCGTGGTTATGATCTGTAGGCGTGCCACGAAGTGTATGTAAACCATTGACACAATCAGTCGTAGCTCTGGCATTACAATTTTCATGTGTTTCTAAAGTTTTCCTATGGATTCTTTTTTCACACTCCCAGTTGTACCGATTTTCACGCACTTTATTTCGGACCATAACATAGCCATTTATAATAAGTTTGTTGTTCAACAAATAACACTCCATTATTATAAAATAAAATACGACGAAGGCACAAACCTCACTGATTCAATATTACATCAGAGAATAACACATCGGCTCTTCGGTTGTATGATGTATATTACTGGTTCGATATCTTATCTCAAATAATTGCTTTGATAAATATCGATATAATTTGGAAATTTTGGATATAATATCTTTATCGCAATAATAATACCCAACGTCGCCGACGGCTCTTCGGCCGTCGGCTCGTCGGTTGTCGGCTCTTCGGCCGTCGGCTCGTCGGTTGTCGGCTCGTCGGTTGTCGGCTCACCGTCCCAGTCCCATGTAGGACATTCCTTAAGTGATATTAAATAACATCAAGAAGTTGAGTATATTTAAAAATTTCAAAAATCAGAACTTTAATAACCGTAGCATTATCAAAGAAGATCTTCTTGTGGGTGATCATAGGTACTTAGTGAATCCCCTAGTACAATACTTTCTATAAGTAGGTATTTTAAATAACATATATTTCTTTTCTTCTTCTGGCATGTCTACTCTCTAAGCGTTTTTGCCACCATTACTACCCTTCACCACCTGGATATATCTTGGATTGTCTCTCTCCAGTTCTCAACTCTTTGAGTTTTCAAATCTTCTTCGACTACCTCAATCCGCCTTTTCCTAGGTCTTTCGCTGGGTCGTTTGCCTTGTGGTTCTCATTCGAATCCTGCTCTAACTGATTTGTTCTCTCGTCTTCTCATTATGTGTCTTAACCATGGTATCCTTTGGCCTTTAATAAAGCTTGTTACTGGTACTAGTTTCAACATATCGTACAGCTCTCTGTTATATCTTTACCGACAGTTCCCCGTTATTTCATCGATAATCGGTTCACACATTTTCCTCTATATCCTATTCTCAAAAGTATTCAAATTTCTCTCTGATTTTTTGGTGGTCGTCCAAGCTTCACCGCCATACATGAGGGTCGGTCTTATAATACCCACATACAATCTTGATTTCGTTTTTCTAGATAACATTTTAGATGTTAAGAATTTAGTCGGACTGTAGATAATTTGTTGAGCCTTATTTATTAGGATACTTATTTCTTTTGACCAGTAATTCTTTGTGCTTAGCGTTGCTCCCAAATATTTAAAATCACTAACTTTTTCGTAATTTAAATCCTACATTTAATTTGAGTAATCCCCGCTCTTAAGGAGTTCCACTATCTTTGTTATCTTAAAATTGATTTTGATACCTATATTTCAATATTTTTTTTGCTACTTTTTCTAACATTGTCCGCGTTAGCTGTGTCTGCAAACGAATCGACTATTATGTCCTAATCGTCAGCGAATCAGAAGAACCATATGTCCTGGTTAATGAATAGACTACCTTCATCTTCCTGTAGTATCCTTACTACCTTCTCCAGCGTAATATTAAAAATTACTGAGACAGCATGTCCCCCTGTTTTATAAAAGTTTCCACTGTAAAAGTTTCTGGTGTTCCATTTTGCGTTATCACTCTAAATTTCATATTTTCCGTATACATTCTGGAGTTACAGCTATTTATTTCTTTGTGAAACTGAACTCGTACATAATATTATTAAGACTTTCTCTACCTATGGAAACTATCAAAAGCGTTTTTGAAATCTATGAATATTTGCCATATATTCTGCCGATACTCGTTCTTTTTTTTCAATTAATTGACCTATTATGAATAGTTGTTCTGTGGTAGAACGGCCTTTCCGGAAGCCGAATTGATGATCACTTAATAGCTATCCTCCGCATAGGGGACAATGCAATTTAGTAATACTCAAAGTTCAAAAGCGATATATCTCTATAATTGTCGCATTTTATCTTGTCTCTTTTTTTGTATTATGATTGCCCCATTATAAGTATCCGGTACTCGTTCCTCAGCCCATATTAATTGACACAATTTGAATATTGCTAAGTGTAGATATCCCCTCCGTTATTTATGAGTTATGCTGGGATATCATAGATTCCCGGCGATTTCCAATTTTTCAGGCCAAATATTGCCATTTTAACTTCTTCAAGACTAACATCCTCTACGTAAGGCTTCATTTATATATTATTGTATAAACGTGTGGTACCGATTCATTTATATTCTACTGTCACACGTGTCATTGCGACATACTACTTGCTAGATCATTTGAGAGGTTTATATTAAATTACCATCAACAATGCAAGACGTTTTGAAAAAGTTCAAAATTTGTTTTCGTTGTATTTATACAAGTATAAAATTATATACCTATGCACGATGTAATATTATATCAGTGAAACTTTTGCATTTTAGTTATTCCATCCTAAATACATGATAAAATATGTGCACTTATAATATTCGATTTCTGCACTGGGCATTATAATGTGTATGGAAAATATCATATTATTATCATATGCGTGAACACTTTCTTTTTCATCTATTAATCACAAAATTATTTGTACCTATAAGTAATTGCATCTGCCATGAATCGTAAATCATCGTAAACCTAGATGTGATAGACAAAAATCACCAAACAAAATGTACTTAATATATTATACCTTATTACAAAGCATGCACACCACCATTTTTTTTTAAATTTAATAATACATTTATTTAAATTCTGATTTTTAAATTGTTTATGTGTATTGTGTACTTAAACACCGATATGTTTAAGTATGCATGCACTTTTTTCATTCCATTATTAATGCTTGTTCTGTGTCGACAGAAACCTGGTTTTTTTTTGCAGACAAGATCCACACTTTTTACTGTAAATAATTTTTACACAGATCATATTTTTTTAATTTTGATGTATATAAATTGATATTCGAAAGAGTAAATTCTGAATTATTAAACTTTTATGTAGATACTAATATTAATCGTCTTTGGTAATAAGTTCAAATATATTAATGATTTGGTGATATAAACATTATAGCTATTGTTTTATTAATATTAATATTTATATAATAGCATTTTATTTGTTTAAACATTTTCCAAGTACCAGAAGTACTAATGGACTGCATATTACATTTCAACTAATTTATATTTTATGTAAGAATTTTATTATTTATAATACATAAGGTTTAATAACTCAGAAACAACTTGTTTGAATTTTGATTTATATAGACCAAAGTTATGTCGAAAACTAATTGAATACACGAGAGCGATATAATAGGCTCGAGCGTAAACGTTTCAAACTTTTCAAATTTAAATTTAATTAGCTATATTATATCAAATAATTTTTATTGTGGTCTATGACAGTTTGATAGTATGCAATAATAAAGTTTCTTTTATACATCAAACTTCGAATGGCCCTTATTTAACACCCTCCTTAACGGCCTAAACAGAATTGTTCAAACTTAAAGATGGGACCTTAGGCTCACCAAAATATGTATGTATACCTACTCAGAAGTAGGGTGAAAAACAAACGCCCATGATTCTACTTTGGATCTGCAGCAGGACAAACAATGATGGTTGATCATATTATAATATCAGACTATAATACTATTATTGTAAATATTTATTTGATTATTTCAACCATATTTAGTTGGTAAACAATTTCCGCTTTGCGATATTATGTTCAATCAACTTTTAATCTTTGCAATAAATTATTGTTTTACAATACAGTGGTTAAACTTGTAATATACTAATATAATCAAATTTAATTCAATAGTGATCCCTGGTTGCTTTAATGAAGTATTTCTCGACTGGGACTTCGGTTTTATTAAATGATTTTTTTTTTTTTTTGTATATCCATCTATACATTTTTTTAAATTAAAAACAAATAAATACATTTGGAGAAATTAAAATAGTAGAAAAATTAAATATTTGACCGGTGCTAACCAATGATATCGACGGGCGGTGGGTTCAAAAACTTGTAAAAGAAACTCAAGCACAATATTCACGTTAAAATACTAATAGATGGTTATAATATAAATATGAAACAAATAATTACATTAATAGGTGATGATTAAAATTATTGGAAGTAATTAAACAATCATTTTTTTTTCACAAATGGTATTCAATAAAAATATAAAATATGTTTCTTAAAAGCGATTGTGGTGATTAGGCTTTGAGATGTGGTCCATGTCTTTGTGGAATTTTCTGGAGTGATCCTTAGTGCAAAATACCCAATAGGTTAGGAACCACTGCCTTAACGGTACACAGAAAGCTTTAACAAAATGCTCTGTAGCGTAATTAATTTATTCGATGTTTTAAAGCTCACAATGCAATTTAAACGTGCTTTCGTCGATTTAATTTTAAACGCTAAAGTGTACATCAATGTGCATGTTTTTATGCTTTGTGGCTACCAGACGTAAAGAGTTGTTTTGATTTGCTTAAGTTTAATTTAAAAGCATCTCTAGAAGACGTTTTCGTTAATTTCATATACTTATTCCGTAGAAAAGATCTATTACCGATTTAGGTTATTCTAAATTTTTCGAAAAAAGCAAGTCATTTGTACTAAATAAAAATGCAAATTTTTCCGTTCGCGATTCATATGCGTATTAACTGAGAAACTACTTGAGTATATTATTATATTATATACGCGATATTCGACCATTATACAAAAAATTCCACAGTAATAATTTTACCGAATTTTAACCATCGCGATCCTATAGTTTCACGAAATTATAAAGCGAACTGAATCAGAATTAATTCCTCAGAAAGCCTTAATATAATTCATGCTCTGATAAATACATTATGAAAATAATCAAAATTGCTTGAACAATAAATGAAAAAATAAAATATATAAGGATGGATGCTAAAACTAAACATACGTTTTTATTGTTTGTCTTGGAGCAGAATACGTTTATGGAGATGACAATATTAATGTTATGAAAATATTATTGATAGATCGATATTATACCTATAACCAGCGGGTAAGACGAACCTCTTTTACTGCAGCCACTGTTGACCGTAGTCCGAACAATGGAAAATTATTTTGTTTGTTTTATTTTTTTTTAATAAACTTTATTACGGAACAACCGAACGACAACAGTCAATATGACGTATATTATATTAGGTATATTATGGAATAGAAAACCATATATTTTAAT